CAGACATCCACAAATCTGAGTTTCTAAATACCCTACTATCATGCACAGAACCTGCAAATCCCACAAAGCAATCTGTAAATACCAAGTCTGCGTTGCAAACAGCTTGCAAAGTAAGAGCGTGTTGGCATTTCCTGGTTCTATATGATTCAGAATTAAGCTGAATAAATAAGAACATAAAAATAAAATAAGTCATATTGCTAGAAAAAGATAATTAAAGCAAAAAAATATAGCCAAAAAATAGGTTTTACATATGATGCAAGGATAGGTATGTGCGTGCCATCGATAACTCCTATGACATCTGGAAGAACACCAATGTCACTAAATCTTTTCTTTACAGCAGTCAATCTGTCCCCTTCTGGCCACACAATAACACTATCTGCTATGTCATTTAAAGCATAGACAACTCTACGGAAAGAATCGTGTAGAATCGATTTTGCCATATTGAAACGATCTGCAACAGATCTATAACAATAATCTAGTTATTAAGCACATCAGTAACAGGAAAATCATTAATAGAAAAATGTTTATATTCATACAAACTGTTATTTACCGAAAGGAATCTGGAGTTGCCAAAAGCTAAATGACTGATAAGAGTTGATTTCGAACTGGGATCATTGGTCTTCCTTCTTTTTCTATTTTTGTCAATGCCGAAGTTAACCGTTGCTCGAGATTTTCGTAAGTTGTTCTCGTCATACAAAAATGTTGACGGAACACTTCATTACTAAATCTTGGTATAATTTTGTTAACATACAGTTGTTCTCTGACTTTATGGTAGCCTCGATTACCAAATCTTATTTGGGCTTCGACAAGATTTGCTTCTTCAATTATTCTATTTGTTATCTCGTCATCACTACTTTCTGAATGTAATATATTTAAAACTCTTAATTTCTGTTCAGATACGACGCAGGCTACAATAATGTTTTTTCGCCTTGTGTCCGCCATCTTATTTGCCGTTCGGAAACTAGTCGCACCTGGAGTACACCTTGCCCCCACTACCAGTTCACTCAACTCTACCCGCCGAGTGATGTTTCCGAACGCAGCCAATCACTTCAAAAACCCGGTTAGAAATCAAAAAGTGTTCTGATTGGTCAAAAGAGTCTTCCTTAAAAACACCGCTTTTAGGCTTTACGCTTCTTGACCATAGCATATAGACTTCGAATAGATGCGAGTACGGTAAAATAAGCCAAAAGACACAAAGTTAAGAGGTAACTCATGCCGGTAACGGGTTCTACTAATAACTACCGTTCCTTTCAAGTACCAGAGTTGGTAATATTACCAGTACCATCATTTTACCGTACTTAAACATTTGCCACGGTTGGTAAATTAACAATTGCCAAAAACCAAGTTTCCGAATAATTTATCAACCCGCGTTAGTTATCATCATGTTTCTGTTACCGTTAGTCATAAATTAAGTAACTCAGATCAGAACCAGGCGGCAACCCGTAAGTTGCAAAATTAGTATTTCAGAAACTAAAAGAGATAAAAAAAAACGGTTTGCACCATCGTCTTCAGCGTAAAAAACTGCAAAATACCAGTGTGTTTCGGAACGTTTAACTATTGTTGTTAACAAACAATTGTTTAAATAATTAAAGTTATCAACTTTTTATTACGTGGTATTTTGCATCTAAGTAATAGAATGAAGGATCAAAAAACCGTTTTTCGATAACTCTTATGGTTCGCGAGATATTTAAATTGTTTATTTTCTCTCATCGCCGTAATTTACAAACCAGTGGATGAAGGGCCTCTGTAAAATTAGTTTTGCCCTAGCTGTCTTAGTTCTCGAGGTATCCTAAATTTACAATATCGACTATGTGTCATTGAACACAGCGTGTGTTAATAAACAAAATGTTTATATTCGTCAAAATTTATCTTGACAAATTCCGGGACTTTTCGGAAACTTTTCAACTTCCCGGTGGTGGTTACTGCTGTTAGTGTGGTTGTTTATGTTATGAATTAATTATTATTACTCCATGTCTTTATTAATTAATTCTACATTATTATAATAGTTTCTATAATTTACGTTTTTATAATTCTGCCATAACAATTACATTCTGCTTTGTTATTGTAACCGCATATATATCTATTGTCCTGTATAATAGTTAAACAGTTAGCATTATTAGCGTTTTGTAAATTAGTTCAGTAGTCTTAAATGTACAATTAACCTTTTAATTAATATTTAGGTAATTTAGGCAAAACGTAAAATATTCTGTAATATTCGTGCGCGAAGTGTTCCCACGGCGAAGTTCGCTTGTGAGAGGCCAGGGTCACTGGCTTGGCCGGGCAAACGGCCCGAAGTAGAGATAAGACACGCGCCGAGATAAGGGACGCGTGGGACCGCGGACCGTTGGCGGCCGCGGGACCGTTGACCAGGAGCCGGTGACCGCTGGACCCGTGGGACCGTGCAGCATCAGCGTATTTGGGACGCTATATAAACGGCCGGAGCGACCGATCTGTCTCTGAGCTTCATCCTGTTCAGTTCGCTTCGCGAAAACGTCAGTTCGGAATAATTCTTTCCAGTCGGGACTTAGAATATTTTAATTTTTCCCAGTCAGAACTTAGAATCTTTTAATATTTTTCCAGTCAGGACTTAGAATATTTTAATTACTTCCAGTTAGAACTTAGAATATTTTAATTTTTTTCGTGTCGTAACTTAGAATATTTTAATTTTTTTTGGGACTTAGAATATTTTAGACCTAGAATAGTTTTTTTTTGCGTCTACACTTAAAATAACTTTGCGTGCGCAGATCGAATCTGACTTTGAGTTTTTTAATGGTAAGAGTACATATCAATAATAATAATAATAATTCTCCTTTTGTACGCACACGGGTGAAACATTTAGTCGGTTTACATCGTTCTAGTTACTGTTGGTTACTCCTGCTCACCCTGCGTCGTTTCCTGTTATTCCGTTGACGAGGAAGGTGCATCACGAGTGCACACTCGTCATTTCCTGTCATTTTCAAGTACGAGGAAGGTGCATCACGAGTGCACACTCGTCATTTCCTGTCATTCTCAAGTACGAGGAAGGTGCANCACTCGTCATTTCCTGTCATTCTCAAGTACGAGGAAGGTGCATCACGAGTGCACACTCGTCATTTCCTGTCATTCCTAAGTACGAGGAAGGTGCACATGAGTGCACACTCGTCACTTCCTGATCCTGGGTACTACAGTGAGAATGGTGCAATAAAGATTGCACGCTCATTTGTCGTATCTATTCCTAGACTTCCCGTCAGCCAGAGGCCCCGGCTCCGCGACGGAGGCGGCGGACCCGACGTAGGGGCAGGGAGCACCAACTGAGGGCCCTTCAAAGAGCCTACGCGCGCACCGGGTCTTTCGACCTCGCGGTGCTTGACACTACCCGCGTGACTGGTACGGAGGGACGCGCCGCGAATTTTTACACGACAAGTACAGTGGAACGCGCCGTTAACCGGGTCCCGCGAATTATTGGTAACGAGAGGTTTACGGGGCGGATTACGATCACTCGACCCACGGATGTGTTGTGCGCCAGGTGCTCGCGAAATTTAACCATATATCGACCGGTAAAAGAATGCGAGAAGTGCCACTTTGCCTACATTGATTTTATCACGGAACACACCGACGATTTTTATACGCTCCAGGACCCCACAGTGTACGTACTTGACGGCCTTTCGATTTAATCCGGAACAGAAGACCCTATCCCACCTCTCGGTCATATCTTCATCCTCCGCCCCGGTAAAGCCCCAGGGTTGACCAAAAAGGGAGGACGTACGTCCGGCAGGTGTAAACGGCCGCAAGACCGTGACCCGGCCTCTGGGACGTAACATTACGAAAAGAGGTAAACTATCTCGGACACGTGATTAGTGAAAGTGGCGTAAAACCAGATCCAAAGAAAATTCAGGCGGTTAAGGAGTTTCCCCGACCGCGTAATGCAAGAAACATCAAACAGTTCCTTGGCCTAGCAGGCTACTACCCCCGTTTCATTCCGAACTTTTCCAAAGTCGCTAAATCTCTCACAAACCTTTTGAAAAAAGATGAGAAATTTGTCTGGGTGGAAACTCAAGAACAAGCCTTTGTGTATTTACGAGACGCGCTCTGCTCTGAGCCGTTACTTCAATACCCCGACTTTACGCAGCCGTTTGTCTTAACGACCGACGCCTCAGGTTACGCCATAGGCGGCATTCTTAGCCAGGAAACGATAGGGAAAGATTTGCCAATCGCGTACACGTCCCGACTTTTAAATCAAGCGGAACAAAATTATTCAACAATAGAGAAAGAGCTACTCGCAATTGTCTACAGCGTAAACCATTTTAGACCGTACCTTTACGGCCGTAAGTTCAAGCTCGTCACTGACCATAAGCCTCTGGTCTGGCTACATTCTGTAAAGGATCCAACGTCACGTACGTTGGCGCTTGAAACTCGCCGAGTACGAGTATGAGGTGATCTATACAGCAGGAAAGTGCAACGTAAATGCAGACGCACTCTCTCGAAACCCTGTCCCCTGTCAAGTCTCCCATCGTAAAACTTTTCCACACTTGTTACCTAAAACCGAAAATTCCGGTACAGCTCACCCCGGACACATAAATTCGTCCCAAGTGTATCATATACAAGACTCAAGTGACACTTCGGACTCAGATGAGACGTTATTTGACCCGAGACCCTCTCAGCGCGTGACGAACAACGAGCAACCAAACGCCGACATAAACAACGGTCACGCCAGAAACGAAACACTAACTCCTAACCCAAGCGTGAGAAATGAAACGATGGAATGCGGTACAAACGAAACACTAAACCCAGGCGAAGAGATAAACAGACCCGACGATGAAATACAACACGCGTCCGCTGATGATATCGCTGACGTCGACATAAACGATACCCTGTCCGATATGTCCGACGATGACACACAAAGCGAATCTGAGGACGACGCAGATATATTTGACAACGTGAATAAAAGTTTTCAATCTCAATCACGAAACAAAGTGTTTGTATCCGAAATTCGCGACAACTTCACTACACGAAAAGACAATTTAGTTGTGTTCACGACCCGCGACGGAGTACCGTGCGATAAAGGAGCTAACATGCTCAAAGAGAATGAATCGTTACCAAGCATCACAAACGCGACATTAGGCCGAGCAAATGTAACGAAAATGGGAAATCGTTACGTAATAGCACTAGTAATCAAAGATCGCGCTTCCGACGGAATAGACCGCGACACTTTAGTCGAAGCATTGCAATCGTTACTCGACGTAACTATCAAACTCGGACTAGAAACCATTTCAGTCTGTCAAGGTAGCATAGATAACGTAGAATTCCAAGAAATCCGCAATTACTTACGCGACATTTTTGCAAGTCAGAACACTAAAATATTAGTCTGTTTAAACCAAATTTTAGTTCCGCCAAACGAGCAACGTAAAGAAATTATAGTCGAAAATCATTGCTCCCCGTTAGGAGGACATAAAGGTGTAACCAAGACGTACGAACAAATCAGACGTAGGTATCAATGGCCGAATATGAAGACGGATATACAAAAATTTGTCCAAAATTGCCGAATGCCAACTAAAAAAGCTAGTCCGCGTGAAAACAAAACAACCCATGATATTGACGGACACTCCCGACGCCGCGTTCGATAAGATTTCAATGGACATTATAGGTCCACTCCCTGTCACGAAAACTGGAAACATTTATATCCTCACCATCCAAGATCTCTTGACAAAGTTTTCCCTCGCAGTTCCGCTACAACAAGCAACCGCGAGAGACGTGGCCGAAGCACTAGTAAACAATTTTATTTGCACATTCGGCGCGCCAAAAGCTATCCTGACAGATCAAGGAACAAATTTTGTAAATTGCCTCATGCGAACAGTCGCCCGTAAGTTTAAAATCAAACAGTACAAAACTACCGCATACAGACCTCAGGCTAACGGATCGGTTGAACGACCGCACCACGTTTTGTGGGAGTATTTAAAACAGTTCGTAGATCTACACCACGAGTGGGATGAGTATTTACAGTTGGCATCTTTTTCCTATAACACGAGCGTGCACGAAGGCACAAGGTACACACCGCACGAGTTAGTATTCGGTAAGATGGCACGCACACCGTCTAGCGATCCTCCTGAAACCGATACACAAAACGAAAGTTATTCCGAGTATATCGTTAACCTTTTCAACAAAATACACGACGTACAGACAATAGCACGACAAAACCTCGTAAAAGCGAAAGAGAGATTGAAAGTTTATTACGACCGTCGAGTTAACCAAGAAGCCTTTAAGGTAGGAGATTTTGTGTTCTTACTAAAGGAACCCTGTAAAAATAAATTAGGAAATCAGTATGTAGGACCGTATAAAGTAACCGAGACATTGCGTAACAATAATGCCAAACTAGAAATAAGTCCGAACAAAACTAAGGTAGTGCATGTAGATAAGTTAAAAAAACATAAAGGAACCGACCTTTAAGTCACGTTAAGATTAACAACCCTGTAGATAAATGTACATAAACCTAACCCCA